TTTGTTTATTTCTAATGTTGGATGCGGAGAGAAAAAAGGCCTCGTTTAAGTTTTCAGGATTACTTCCAACACTCGAGCTTGTAGAAAATTATGGCTTACTTTTCCGACTATCGAATACAGATATATATACTTACTAAAAGACAGCAAAAGCTACATGTATACATGTTCGACGAAGCTCTTTGATAGCTGTATACAGCAGTATCTAATTGAATATGTGAAGCACATCGTATTGCAATGCGCTCCCTCTCGTCTAGCTGCTCGAGTTTCGGTAGCCCGCTACATAGCTGGATTTTCCCATGTGTGCTTCATTATGTAGGTATCTGGGGTAAGGGTTCATTCGCAGTCACGATTGCGTGACGTGTGCGTCTGGCTTGTGTGTACGGTAAACTTTCGTTGGGGTGCAGCCTAAAGACATCAAATTTGCAGAAGAAAAATTTCTCGAATTCGAGAAAATAAAAGAGTGGTAAAAAACACCTCAATATGTTTATGTCTGAGAAATGTTAACTTGAACACAAGACATCTCAATGCAGTACAATTCTTATCAATTGTTTTACTTGCCTGTAGAATTTATATGCTGAGAGATCTTAAATTTTTGATCAAATTTGGAGAAGAATAGTATAATTTTGCCACAGGCTTACGCGAAGAAAGAATACAAAATAAAGAAGAAAAAGAAAAAAAGGATGCATATGGCAAAAGATTATAAATAATTCTCTCGAGCTCGACGACTCAGCTCCTTTTCCTCTCGCAGAGCCGATCTTTTAAAAAATGAAAAACTCATCGAGACGTATACACGACTTACGTACATACATACAATTGTATATGTATGTAGAGGCTTTGAGGCTCGACCCGTACGTACATATATGCAGAGACACATTGCGCTGCCTGGTACATGTTCACCTGAAGGGGCTCTCGGAGAAAGTCAAATAGTAATAGCAAAGGTTACACGTCAATGCGCGCTTGTGTATAGCCCAGGCACTGCGTGCAGTACATGTTATAGGCATACATTGTATGCAGTACGCGCGTGTGTATGTACCGTCGTTTGCACTTTGCAGACGCATATATACGCGAGGCGCATATAGCAGCATCTACATGCGCATGTGTGTCGAGAGAACGAGATCATTGAAAATCCGAGTGTAAGACCGAAATCGTGTATATGTATTATATTATATGGCATGCGTCGGATTGAAGCAGCCCCGACGCGGTGATTTCGATTTCGATGTCGCGAGGTAGGCTAAAACAGTCGCATATGTATGCTGTATATGACGCGGATAATGATTCTGGAAAATCGACCGCTAAAAATTAGGCATTTCCCGTACGATACGATATAGATAATCGATAATTTACAAAAATAATTTGAAGAAAAAAATATCGTATAGTATCAATTTCAATGCAATAATACCGATACGATATTTCGATAAATTACCTCGCCTATAATACAGTAATATAGTGCATTTATTTTATACTGACCAAGGTCTTAGGTCCTCATTTGTCAAATATCATTTGTAAGACATACAATGTATTTATACGTTTATAGCGAGCACGAATTTCGCCCGCGATATGATATCATACAGTTGAAAAAGCATATGTGCGGCTGTATAAGAGGAGCCTGACTATTAAAGCTGTGCTTATAAGGCATGCATTATACCTGTCGGCAGACAGCTCCAGAAAGAACCACGAGGCTACACATTGTGCTAGAGAAGGCTCTTATAGATCTAAATTATGCAGATTCCCTTAAGTGTGCGAGTGTGAGTATTAGCATTGCAGCTCGTAGCTGCAGCAGCAGCAGCAGCAACTCGGTGCAGAGCTCCGCACGACAACGACGACGACGACGACGACGACGACGACGACGACGATGTGACATTTGAAAGGCTTTATATAATGCTTCGGAGAGCGCGTGAATTTTAATTAACCCCACGTATATGCAGGAGAGTAATAAGATTCGCGATCCTGCGCATTACGACGCGTATTCCGAACACATTTACTTTCGTTACGCTATATCTAGTACCTATGTATAAAAGTTTTGCTCCCCCGTGCGCAGACGATCGTCAATCCGAGAGCTTGACTAAATCTTCATTAGTTTTTCGAACGATATCGCGCGCAAGTTAAACGGCATAAATAGTGCTACGACTCGATCAACGGCGAGTTCGTGATTACATTTCTATACGTGCACTTTGAAGCTTTTTTGCCCCGCATTCTCCCCGGCTGCTGCCTGCCTCGCGAGAGGCTCGATATATATTCGAATATAATTTGAATTTTCCCCTGTAGCAATTTTCCGGACTATAAGGCGACTACTGCCGTATTATTATATAGAGTATACTGCTTGCCGTGCACGTGTGCACGTGCGTGTATGTACCCTTTCATCGAAGCCGTATACACGTAGGTATACGCGCACATTGCGAATATTGTCGAAGCTTCTGTCGGCTCACTCCCGTGTACACGCATGTATATTACGCTACGTATACACGTAAATACAATAAATGTATACGATGTATAGATAGAGAGACACGGAGAGAGCGAGGGACGGATGGTATGTGCGCGGGAGCCTGCAACGAGCTCCGGTGCACGAGATCTCAGCACGGCGCGAGGAAGCTCTCGGACTAAACTTTGAATAAGATGCATTCCCCCGTCCCACCTGCCGCGCACAAATAGCGCGCCCCGCGAATAACAATAACAGCAGCGCTCGGCTTTTGCGCTATGGACGAAGCTATGCGTAGATACTCACCGCAGCTATATACAGTTATGCCCTCCCCAAAATGCATCTCTCTCACTCGCTCTATATTACGACACACAACGTCTGAAACTCAATTTCAAGGCAGATCAATTAGAAGCGCTCTTCGAGCTCGTATAGCACAGCAGTAGCAGCAGACTTGGCTATTGCGAGATTGTTGTGAGTAGGTATAGCGAAAGTCTATAACTCGAGGGATCGGAGCGAAGATGTGTACGTACCTATATATATATAGGACGCGCGCGCGCTAACTCTCGAGCGATGAAGTCGGATTATATGGGTAGAGTCAAGTTTTAAATTCACAAGGCCACTTTGGTAAATGGAACAACATCTCCATCCTCCGTCCTGCATCCTCCTGACGTAGAAGCGCGCCAGCCCGAGATAAGCTAAGATTACGCGCCACCGCGTTCGCGCGTCTATACAAGTTAGTGCTTCCATTCTGCTGCTTCTACTGCCGCTGCTGGTCGAGGCAATGAATAACACACAGCGTGTCGAACGTAATTTCCGTCTTTCATCGGCAGCGCAGACGGCTGATGCGGGAGAATGTGCGAGCTTTGACTTGCGCTCTTTCGCGCGCATATTGTAAAAGACGAGGAGAAAAAGATACACAGAAAGGAAAAGAGAGTGAGGGAGTGAAAAAAAGACTACACGTATTTAGCAGCGTAACAAGGCGGAAGAAGAAGCGCGCAAAACGAGAGAGACAACATCATAGGCAGGCACTGCGCGACTTATAATGTAGCGATAGTCACGTACCATGCACGTCGGCAGTCGTGTACATACGCGCTGGAAATACGTATGTATAGCTCGCGATTTGCTCTACGCGGCGCAGAGTACGTATGCGGGGAAAAGTGCATGCCTCATCGGCTCGTCGTCGTAGTAGTCGTGCAGTGCGTTGATGATGCGCGTGGGCGTAATTGCGCGTGACTTTTAATGCCGACGACGAGCCATTGCTAGAGTCGAGAGAGAGAGAGAGAGAGAGAGAGAGACGCGCGCGCAGAGAGAGAAAAAGATCATAGCCGAGCTATTTTTCTCTATTACAGCCGTGTGTCGCGCGATTCGCTCGTGCGTAATGCGACAGCCGCTGCTGCGCTGCGTGTGCAATCGTGTATCATGCACCTCTGTATAGCAGCTGTACGACGAACTTCGCTCTGTAACTTCAATTTTGTTGTTGTTGCCTCTCCGCTACGAATAATAAAAAATTAAAAAAAAAGAGTAAAACGAATTCCACACGTAAGCTCGAAATTTTCAATTGATGCTCGACGTCGAGCTTTTTTCTTTGATCTATTTTTTTTTGTTGGTACTCTGTCGAAGCTCGAGCGGTTGACATTGTCACGTAGGCCGGTTTGAGAGAATGTCGCTATGTGAAACTTACGTATTACTATTCAAAATTGGTGGATGATGTATCATCGAAAAAAGTTTTAATTTAAAGTAATTGTCCAAGATTAAAATGAAAATTTATAAACACGTTTTTCGAGAATTTTCACTTAATATTTTTCGAACAAAAAATTACAAGAACGCCATGATTGTTTTTGTTCTATAAACATAAATGCAGGTTCATTTTGAAAAATAATCAATGAAAATTCCAAAAAATGCGTTCGAAAATTTTCTTTTCAACCTCAGCTTCGGCAACTCCTTGAAAATTGATACTACCCATGGAAATTGATATTTTATTCTTTTTTACAAAATTGGACGCACATTTGTGGGTTGCACAAAAATAAAAAATAATTATAATAAAAGCTCGGTATGTGAGCGCATTTAAATTCAAGTTCTTCCATACACATATACGCAGAAGTAGCCACTTTTATTCAGTATACCGCGTTGCCATCTACTACCATTACTACTTCTGCTACTACTACTACTAGAACGTCTATACGCACTCGTTATCACAGAGAAAGAGAAAGAGCGCGAGAGAGGGAGAGAGAAGCCGGCAGCAAGGGCCACGGGAGCGCATGTGCGCTGCTGCCGCCGCCGCTCCGATTTATACACGGGCAAAAATATATCTATATATACACAGTTCTGCGCTCCGACCGGCATTACACACGTACACGTAGTGTAAGGCGTGGGGGAAGAGCAGCAGCAGCAGCAAAAGCCGTAGATACATTCGCTATATATAGCCTAGCACGCGGCGCACGCGGAGCTCTCATCTGTATATGTATATAGGCATAACATACAGAGAGTCGAGCAGCAGCAGCAGCAGCAGCAGCAGCAGCAGCAGCAGCAGACCAGGCGCGCGCGAAACCGAACTACTGCCAGTGGCATCCAGGCGGCCTGCGACACAAGGCACGAGACTGGCGGCGCGCAGTGCAGCTTGAGCAGCGGACGAGTGCGAAACTGAGCGCGGATACTATACACACAAAGAATCTCTCTCAGTCTCGTATACGAGTTTTCGGGGACGTGCGTTGGTCTCTCTGTTTTTCTCTGTCTTGATACTTGTCTCTCTTTGTATACAAACATCTTGTATACCTGCTGTCATTCGTCGTACAGTCGGCGCTTTAATAATACGTAGAAAAACGACGCGTGTGCGAAGCTTTCGGCTGTCAGATAATTTTTTGTCGGCCGTGTCTCTCTGTGGAAGCTCAGTCGACGAACTTAGCAAACCGGAGATTTAATTCGAGTGTTCGAATTTCGCGACAAGCATTGTTATCGAGTGCCGTGCGGTTGTTTGTTTAGAAGTAAACACCGGTGAGTTTGTTTGTTTATTTTTTTCTTCTCTGGTCAGTCGCGCGATTTGGTGCTGTTTACAAATAATAAATAAATATATCCTGTTTCTGGTGCATTAAAAAAAGTTTCTTCGTCTGTATCATCTCGATATTACGAAGAGTTTGTAAATCGTTTACGTGCGGAGGCACGACACATCGTTTCGACAGTTGACAGTTGCCGCATCGAATTAAAACGTAAGTCATTCATTTATCTGCTCCGCTCCGAATTTGTATCGACGACTCACGCGAATATCGAGTTTTTTCGAAAAGGTTACGATAGTCATAAGTATAACAGCGGCTCGTGTATGCTTTCGCCGAGTCTTGGAATTCCAAGGCGTATGCGTAGATAGAAGCGTTCAGTAGTGATATGGGAAACGATTGTAAACATAACCTAAAACAACGAGCGACTTGATATATAATACGTGCGATGGGAGAGTACACCTACTAATATTACTATACGCGTGTGCAACTGTCAGGCATCGTTGGGACAGTTTGTTTTCGACGTGGTCAAGAAGTGTCAATGTTGACTCGCGTATAAGCTCTGTGCACGCGACATTACTTATTTCTCGCAATCGATTCTGTATACTCAACTGCTGCTGCGGCAACTGTGCACGAGCACTACTGGTCCAATTTTACGGATTGACATGGAGCAACGAAAGTTTCGTGCAATGATTTATTCATCGTTAGTTTGATTAACGTCGACGCAACTGCTGCTGCTGCTGCTGCTATACCGCTACTGGGGAGGACGATGATCCGCATCGATCAGCTGTTCGCCGTTGCTTCTATATTGGAATTAATTGCTCTTATAAATTTATGTTTGCCGGATATAACTTTTTTCAGGAATCGTCGAAAGTATAATTTAAAAACTCCGATTTTGACTCGCGTGCATGATTAATTAATTCAATTTATGCTTAGCTGCACACCCGTGTATATATTATTAGTTATATACACACACATGAGCACGATGTTTGGTGTCGTCGTTGTTGACAATGACGACGTCGACGACGATGACAAGCGAGAGACCCAATACGGAGCGGATTGCAAATGTTTACAAATGTGTGCGGATGACTCTAATCCATTGATGGAATTGTTATGCACATACCTGCTGCGTTCGGTCCCCCGGAGTTAAGCAAACGAATTTACATAATATGAATTATAATAATAATGCACGCGGTGCAGAGGACTGGATTGCATTGTATCGACACTCGATCGAGCACACAACAACAACAAAAACAGCAACATCCGAAATCAAACAGTACGAGTATAGTTAACGCGTAGGTTCACGCTTTTATTGCAGCAAAATACATGTATATTGTAGACTCGCGCAAGCTCGCACGATCAACGAGGCACTTGTCGACTCTCTCGGGGGGTCATTGACCCAATCGCGGAGGCTGCAACGTATACTGCGTATACGATATAATACGAGGCGTGCCAATGATACGCCGGGACTTTTAAAAAGTCGACGCTGCGTGGACGCATCATCTATTATACGAAGCGTTTCACGCGAGTCGTCGTCTTCCTATTGTTAGCGACACTCTGCAAGTGTCACGCGGCCGCCTTCTTTCACTATTATAGACTGTCAACGTCACGTGTTGCTGTGTATGCGTACGTGTATATACATCGTAGCATGCGAATAACGCGTCCAGCATAGAGTACGTGGTGCACACCATGCGGAGTGTGCGGCCGGACGGTGCCCGACCAGAAGAGAGTCTACAGCATCATATCAGCAACGAGAGTAAAAGTGCAGTCGTCTCTCTCTCTCTCTTTTCTCGCGCAAGTAATACAGCATAACGCAAACGCGAAAAGAGGGAGAGACGTTCTAATGCATATACGTTCGGACGCAGCAGCAGCTGATCGCGTATAACTGCACTGCACGGCCGAGTGCAAAACTACTACTTTGCTTTTTCCTCTCCCCCTCCATCTTCGTCGTCGTCGTCGCAGCACTCCCCCATCTCGAGCAAGCTTATATAGCATCCCTTATACGTATGTACATGCGCGCTCCTTACTTAAATATATTACGCGATCGTGTCCCCCTATACCACCACCACCACCTCCCAAGGCGGTAAGTAGATAATAAATAGGCTGCTATATATGTATTGTCAACAGCAATCGTGCACTTAGCTCCCTTTAATGCCACCCGAATGCCGCTTTGCCGAGGCAGGGGGTAGCAGCAGCAACAGCAGTCCAATACTGATTTAGCGTTATTTTCGCACGTGTTTACTGCACCAGTGATCTGGATTTTTTCAATCCCGCATTTTTATTCATGTATTCCACGGATTTTTTTTTCTATCATCCCTCAGCTGGCGCACGTACGCACGCACACATACGCATACGCGCGCGCACACACACGGGCGCATTAGAAGCGATGCGCTGCTGCTGCTGCTGCTGCTGCTGCTGCTCGCGCATAATATGCGAGATAGGAAGCGGAGAAGTGCTTGTTCGACGATTCGGCCCGAATTATTTAGTGGCTCGCGCAGATGAGATAGACCGCTTCAATGGGATTATATCTTTATATGTGCTAGAAGTGCAGGGGTAGTACGTGTGCACGTGTGTCTGTGTATGTGTGTGTGTATTGCTTCTACTTCTCGTGCGGCTAACCCCGTGGCAGCGCATTATCGGTAAAATTTCATACCCAGAATTGCCCCGTGCTCGATCGCGCAGCCCATATATACATAGATAGATGTATAGAGAGAAGCTGCAGTAAAATGCAATTGTAGCAAAGGCAGCAGAAACTACTACTGCTGCTGTGGACCTAAACGTACGCAGCTATATATAACAGCGGATCCGAGCGCATAGAGATGGTATTACGTTATATGGAGAAGTATAAATTGGGGCTAGAGTGGGTAGAAAATCATTGGTAATGCAGGAGGGGATCGCACATCTCGACGTACATGATGATTGGAGTTTGAGGGAACATGCATGCGAGCAACCGTATAATAACGTATAGCCAGGACCACCCGCGCTTATAATGTTTATACCTCATCCACGATTTCGGCCAACAAAATATTGCTCTCGTGTTTTATCGCGCGCTCGAGCTATTCTATATAGTAGCAGCGCTGGTTGGATCGTATAGCGCATCTGCAGCGGCGATAAGGATGTGCTGCTGCACTCAGCCAGTGTATGGATATATGTATGCGTAATACATAATATAGAGATATCGCACACGTGCGAAGCCAAACAAATATCAGGAGTGAGTAAATTAGAGGAAAATTCATTTTTAATCGTCGTAGATTTTATGCACTCGATAACGAAAGTTCGGTAAAGGGAGAGAGAGAGGTGTTTGCACAAGCAGAAAAATAAACAAGAGTGATTTTTTAAATGGCTCTGTAGGCAAATAAACTATAAATGCGGTACGCGCGCTTTTTATTTTTTTTAATATTCCAATTATATTATGCCCTTTGTCAAATCAAATGGGTAAATTAAAAATATTTTCTACTGAATTCTTGCTCGAACGACGCTGGAATTTTTTAAAACAATTTACTTATATCTTGTTAACCTAATTAAATGCCGATATTGAATGAAAAAATAAAGAAAAATGTTCGTAAATGTAAAAAAAAAACAATGAAATCCTCGCCATTTCCAAATATTTGCCACTCCGAATGGTTTATGAATTGTATTTTATACCGTTTTCCAAAAAGCCGCTTCCACCCCTGTAAAGATGAGAGCTCGAATTTCCCGAATCCTCTCTAAAAATAAACCTCGTAAATCCTTGTTTATAAACTCGCGAATAAATGAACGCAATTTTTAAAAATAATAACAATATTGTCCGTGGCAAAACCGGCGTGTGCGATGTTTTACTTTTATCCGGTGCACGAAAAGTGGAACGCTCGGCTTGGTCGCGTAGACAAGAACAAAATACCCGAATGATATTTGCGTGTACCGTCGCTACTTTTGTGATGAGCTCATATGATTTTTTCACCAAAAAAAAAAAGAAAAGATAATGCAGCATCAAGTGGTCTGAACAGCTTCGATTTATATTACAATTAGTGCGTACGCAAATTTGCAAAATAAACTAACAGTAGACTTTCATCTGAATACGTCGAAAAGTTCTAATTAAACATACTCATAGATAAAAACTAACTTTTAATAAAATTTTTATTGAAGCTTTGCTTTTTAAATTTTCCTTTTTATTTCAATGCAAACCGGCCAAAGAGAGTCACGACGAGCAAAAAAAAACGATGAGAGAGTTGCAGGGTCGATTTAATTATTTTCTAACACGATTGACCGAATTTGCTTGTGCAGCTTGAAACTCGGTAGAGAAAAAAGAGAGTGAGAGATAAATGCATTTACTCGATGAGTGAGATACGGCTGTAAAGAAAAGTATGATTCTCTCAAAGAAAAGTTTCTCTCATCGCGAGCGCGTTCGCGCGCGCGCCAAAAACAAAAACTTTGCTTGCTTGGCTTTGCCCGTGTCTGCTTATGTTTCTCATTGATGGAAAACTCTCGAGAGCGCGAATGAAGTTTTCCTATACAAATAAGACGGAACGACTGGGGTGGTGGTGGTGGTGGTATACGCGCTACTCGCTACTGCAGGGAAAAAGCCGTGGCCTGCCGTGCGCCGCTGTACGTTACAAAGTTATTAAGCTCGTCGTAAAAAATCATCGCCATTGCCATTACGATTATCCGCCTCGGATGGTATCGTCTCGATCGAAACGGCGAAATAGCTCTTTCTCCCTTTCGATGAACTGCATTTGCTTCGTTCCTTTTTTCTACTGTTTTTCTTTCTTTTCCCTTTTTTTTAATCAAAGAATCGTAAAGGAAATTCAAGCGCGCGAATAAACGTTGAAACTTTCGCGCCAGAAAACGAGTGCCAACTGCAAACTTTATCCATTACGCGCTTAGAGTTACATATACCCAGCAGCAGCCCGAGTTGGTATTGTTTTTACAACGTGCGTATGTACGCGTTTTAGCTGTAGCGAGAGAGGTGGGGAAGAGCAAGCAGTACATTATGTATTTATCAACAAAAGAGCTTAAATTTTGACGGAAATTCATAATCAGGTTAGTGTTTTCGCGAGTGAGCTGAAACTTAAATTTCCCCCCAGCCTCCGCGATCCGGAGCTTACGGTATTGTAAAACTTTGTTATAACGAGCAACTGCCGCTCGTATATATCGTTGGTTATACGTAACGTAGGGCGTGTTTATTCAACATTCCTTTAAACGTTAACGTATTATAAAAATCGAAGCCACGTAAAAGA